TAGAGGCCCTCAATAACTTTGAATACTTGTAACTCTAAAAGCTTTGAGGGAATACATCTCAAATTTGTTACCCAGTCTGAACAGGGTTTTAAAAATCTCTCTTTTATCAAAATTTAATTTAATATTTTTATATTTGGCTTCTTTTTCGATAGGCAAAGAGTTTAGTGTTTCAGATTGCTTCTACTTTAAATTGTTTCAGCATCAACAACTTCTGTTAAAGTTAAAAATAACCCTTTGTTCACCGCAAAAAGAAAAAGAACAACAACAACAAAAAGCACTGGGCTTCTGTTTTCCATGTTTGGTTAAGGTGTTTAAGTTAATGACTTACGACTTGAGTCAGAAAACTATTAATGCGAGAAATTAAGTGACTGAATATTGTTAATATTAGCGTAGTCTTTCTGATTGTGATTCAAAAGAGCTATACATATATACAACTCACAATAGTACTTTCAAAAATATACTGCTTTCACATTAGCACCAAAACAAGATCTCAGTATTCATGTTTAAGCAAAGCACTTTTCGTGAAACTTGTTTACAACTGCATTGTTCATGAGAAATTAATTGTTGTACTGCCTTTTTAAAAGAATGTCAGACAGCATCTTATGACTGTAGTTCACACCATTGAACTAGGCGTGTGAAGGTTATGAAAGTCTAAAAAAAGTAGCAGCCAGAAGGCTTAGGTTGAATTTCACCCTGCAGCCTCTTTATGGGAATTTTCAAGTCAACAAGCATTGGTAATTCAGCCTCTTCAATACACCAAAAACCTTAAGTAAACCAACATTGCCTTAACATCTGCTAAAGCTATTTAAGGTTTAAGTAAACGGGGTCGTTGCGAAGCTATACTGTGTCAAAAAGTATATACAATTGTGGCACTCCAGAACGCTACTTTAGAAGGTCTCCTTGGGACGATCTTCCTATTTTTACGCTACTCGTTTGTTTGAGGCCTGGTGATACGCGTTTTCTTTTTGCGCTTAAAGACGTACATTTTCCTTTTCTTCCTAACATCACAACATGTTTTAGGACAGGAGTCTGAGCAATGCGAGAAGCAAGACAGCTGGCAATTTGTTAAAGGACTAGAGAGCAATTCAGAAATATGGTGGATCATTTTCTCCTTATATTCTTCATTGTGATCAGTCAAAGACCTTCCAAATGGCGAAACCGTTTCTTCTGGTAATTTGACTAAATACGGAGATAATTCATTTCGCTTGCAGCAGTATGATGGGCAGGTTGGAGTGCAAAAGGACGAGCAATAAGTTGGGCATGGTTTAACTAGAGAAGACGGCGTTGTTGGGTTCGTTTCTTGGAAAACTACTGCACTACCAGTTGTCATCTGCATTGGTGGCTGTTCTGGTTTACTGGAACAGCAATGTGATGGACACAAACTGTCACAGTGATATGCGCACTGCGACGGGCAAACGTCTGATGGCGATGCTGACGATCTGGGAAGATACGGCAGCCCACAACAATGTTGTGGACAAGTGGGAACACAACTAATGATACAAGTACTAGGACAGCCAGTTAAAGACGCCTGTGATATCTTGCAGCAATACGAGGGACAGGAGGGAAGGCAATTCGCTTTACATGTGGATGGGCAAGATTGTTTTGGTAATATTGGATGCTGTGTGGATATTGGCAGCGATGAACAGCACTGCATAGGACAAGGCGGACCGCATACTCCTTTGCATTTACCTGGACATGTGGATAGTGCAACGATTTTTAAATTACAGCAATACTTTGGGCAAGTAGGAAGACAGTTTGTCTTGCAGACTGAGCTGCATGAAGCCTGTGTAGGTTCCACCGTGGGAAGAAACTTTGCTGTACAACACTGACTGGGACAAGATGGAGCACAGCTGGTTTGGCAGTAACTTGGACAAGCGTTTGCGGATGGTTTGGGAGCTTTGCAACAATGTATTGGACATGATTGGTGACAGCTTGTGTGACATTCAGACGGACAGGTCGGAGGTGATGATGACGGAACAAGATAATGGAGTTGCTCGCAGCAATGTTCAGGACAAGCCGGTTCACAACTTAGGTGGCAAATATCTGGGCAGTTTCCCACCACGTGATGTTCAGGAGGTTTACAGCAATGGCTTGGGCAAATTAATGGACACTTTGAGGCTGGACCACATTCCGCAGGGCAATGTGACGCTGTTGGTTTCGGCGAAACCGCTTTGGAAACAGGGAGAATATGAAAACGTCAGAAGTCCTCCCTTGATATCATCTAAGGTACATGCATGTCGACTGCAAATGGAATTTAAGGTATTCAACTTAGAAGTTTTGTATGCATGAAAGTAAACTCGGTTGACATTGAAATCTTTGATAATTACTGTTCGTGTAGGCGTGGAGCAAATAATGTACATTTAAAATAAAAATCATACCCAGCCTATTTTACGTATCTCTGCTTACCAACACAACGGTGGCCGTTAAAAGTGAATCCTGATATACAAATGCAGATTCCTTGGTGACAGTGCGAATGAGGTGGGCACCCTTGACAGTTATCCACTAGAATGGGAAGTAATGACACGCCGTTTCAGACAAAGGGGTATCTAGTTAACTACTGCAATCATTCTTGCAAAGTCTACACCCAAACAATGAGCATCAAAAAGAAAAGGAAAAAAAATATAACAAAAACCAATGTGGCACCTGAAATCTTTTCTTTTGTAATCCGTTTTACATTATAATTTGTTTTTATAGCTGTCGTGCAAATAATTTATAGTCTCCACAATAATTGGAGATGCGGAGCTGCTCCTAAGTTGCTTGTTTTATGTCATGTTATTTTTGATAATATCGTATTGGCATCAAGCAATGATTCATTGTTCACGCGCTAATTAAATTTCTCAAACTTCCCTAAAATACGCGCTATTGAGGTTTCATAATACACGAGAGTAATATCAGTGAGGCAGTAAGTACATCCGCGAGTAGGGACAACACTTAAGGTCGAAAGTAAAAATCGATCGAGAACTCATCACGGCCGTAGCTATACTAAACTAAAATCTTAGCGTAGGAATATCTGAAAAAGAAAAAAAAAATGCTTATTTTTAATGCATAGCCTATTACGGGAACTTGAAATAAGTAAATTCCAATTCTCTACTGTGGCGAGTTGTCAGTCGTGGTAATCCCGCAGATCCCAACACAGAGTTTTTTATAAGGTACTCTTAAAGCCCAGTAGAGGTTAATGACTTACCACGGCATTGCTTTCCGTTGCCAATAAATCCTGGCTTGCAGACACATTCATTACTTATGCAGGTTGCATTGGGACTGCAGTGATGGCATCGTTTCACTAAATTAGAAAGAGCGCATTGCTTCTGCTTTAGAATCTAATAGATGAACTAAAAATAAATAAGATCAAAATAAGACAATAAGCTAATGGTGTGCAATAAAAAAACGCATGATCATTATTGGTCTTAAGCAAGGCTTGCCAGTAAATAGCTGAGTTCACATTTGAAAACAAGCAAAATATTATCCCAAACTGAACTTACCCTTTTCGCACTCGAAACCATCGCCTTTGTAGCCAACTCTACATCTACACGCTCCTTGTACACATATGGCGTGTATATCGCACTGGTCACAGTCATCCACTTATAAATCAGGTAAACAAACAAACAAACAAACAAACAAAATAACAACAAAAGTCAATATTTTGGTTCAATTATGAACAAGTAATATGCACAAGTTGCTATGGTGTTGCTAGAGATCCCAAACATGGAATTCGTAAAGACGAACAAGTTATCCGTGGCATCGACAAACAACACTATACCTTCACAGTTAAATCCCCTGTAAGAACCGATGCATGAACAAGTGTAACCATTTTTGCCGTCGATACATTTTCCGCCATGCAAACATGGGTTAGGATGGCAGTATGACTTCGCTGAAAGAAATAAGGGCATTTGCATGCCAGCTCAATAAAACGTTAGAATAAAAAACCTCCCCAAAGAAAAAAAAACAAAAAACAAAAAAGCAAACAAACATGTAAAAAGGAAACAACCCGATTTTTCAATTTTGGCGGCCCTAATACTAAAAAAAAACTTTTGCTTGGGTGAAAAAGTTATGACTCCGCTGAAATAAAGAGGATAGAAAAATATTACTTTTAAACTGAGCAGGCTAACGCTTAGACGAGGTAGTTGATAATGAAAAAAAGTGTTCCGTTCCAGCTGGTATATCATAATTTGTGTTTGAATGGGCATGCAACGTATTTCGAACAAGGAAATCATCAGGGAAATTCGCAACAGACAGCAGCTAAATAGCAGGGCATTGATTAGACACACCCAGGGGATTGTAATACGCATTGCAAAGAGATCAATAGACCGGAATCTAAAACGAGAGAGAAGCAGAAAAAAAAATCCATTGCATAAATGGAGGGGGCCATGAATAAACAATACGGGAAAGAACAAATATATGGACCACAAGGGAATGGACTGATTTCTTCGGGAAATAGTACTGCAGCATCTAGACTTTCGTCTAGATACGCGAGAGGAGGGAGGGGGGAGGGGGGAAACGGGGGAGGAGGACACAGCTACTTTCTATCCCGACCTGCTGCCTCGCATGTCGGTCCTTGGAATCCTTTGGAGCACAGACACTGGAATTTGGTTCCTTTTGGAACGCAGCTCCCTCCATTCTTACACGGCGCACCTGCGCAAGGGTCTGGTGTTTTATGTGAAGGCGGAGCTGCTCCTAAGTGCAAGATTCAAGCGAAATATATTTAGGATTTATTTTTGTCCGGCATCTGCATAGTTTCACAATGGATGTCGCTAGAACAAGTGATGTCATCTTGATATCGTTATCAAGTTGGACAGCGTACACACCGCTCCGCAGAATTTGAAAACGCAGTTTTATTTCTGCGGTTAGGCCTACAGCCACACTAATCCGTCATAAAAACAGAGCTTTTATCTTGAAAACGCTCTTCAAACTGAAGGAATTTAAAAACGCCAGCTTTTCGTTTTCGTGTGGAGGGAAACCATTTTGAACAGGAAGCTTTGCGAAATCGTCGGCGTCGAGATGTGATTGTTGCGTTTTTAAATTCCTCCGGCGTGGTGTGGACAAAAAAAAATTGATGCGTTTTCAGGGTGAAACCTCCCTTTTCAAATTCCTCTGGAGTAGTGTTGACAGGCCCTTAGAACAAAATAATGTTACGTTTTGTTTACGTGTGTTCAGGCAAGGTGTAAAAAGATCCGTGAGATAAATAATAATAGGTCGGAATGAAATTAGGCGTTTACAGGTGCTAATCACAAAACATGCATAGAAAAATGTCAAACAAAGGCTTTTATTTCTAACTTGATAATGATTGCTCAAACTAATTTATAATTCATCAAGTTTAAACAAAGGAAATCATGACCGTGATGGTGTTTGGATATCGGATCTTAATTAGCATAGATTTTTACGATTTTAATTCTCTGTTTTTTCCTTAATTTTTGTTTCGATTGAGGAGTTCGTCAAAAATACTCCGCTACGCATCGTATTTTCAACTCTTTTCTCGGTGTTTGGAAATGTGGCCAAACACTGTCTTTCTTGTTTGATATATTACGTCAAGATGACCTGGAAACGTCGTTTTTAGCGTTAATATTCATTTTGAAATTTATTACTTAATTTTCGCTGGTTAGAATCTGTGTAGTTCTGGACAGTAAGAAGTTTGAAAAAATAAAGAGCCGATGTGTGAAGCAAGCTATCGATAACAACCTTAAAGAATGATCATCGACAGCTAAACAGTTTTTCTTTACCGAAAGAGACTAGGACAAGTCGACCCTATCATAATTCCAAGATAATTGAAAATTTTAAGCACATTTCTACTCGAATATTCTAGGTTGAATATTTTTGACCACCTTTCAAGACATTCCGTGTACTTCCAAATTTCCCGCTCGGTCGAGCTGAGATTGTCTCACATTCTGACCAAAGTTTCCGGAATTTTTGGGTAAATGGTAAACAACCAACATTTACTGGTCGGCACCTAGCGCCCAAAGCTATCGAGATGATTGTACAGACTTACCGACGGAGAGCTCACAGTTTTCTCCTTCGTAACCAGAAGCGCAGAGGCACCGATGACCATTAGGCTCTTCGAAACACGATCCACCATGTTTACACGGATTAGGAACACAGAATCGCGGATTGGACGCTAAAAGAGCAGGAGAACAATTGACATTAGACAGCGCAGTCGCTGGTTGTCCTAGTATACCTGAGGAAAATTATAGAACGTTGTCATATGACGTCACGGAAGCCATATTGGTGTTCGGAAACAATAGAAGGGCGGCCATGTTGTTGTACCAAAATAATATTGTGGGATTTGAACTCTTTTGATATGTAAACAACTTTTTTTGTTCCAATAAATTTGCATGGCTGTTGGCTACGTGAATGAAAATGCTCTATGTTCGACAGATGACAAAGGAAACTGAATGAGCATGTTCATACATTTCATTTGTTTGTGTCCTCTAGGCCTCACTATCAAGTTGAATTTTATTATATCGAAAGTAGCCTATTGCGGTGTAAAGAATAAAAGAGAATAAAGTCGAGTTGAAAAATCGTAAAATAAATGATTTACTTACATGTACCTTAGTCTTAGCAACAAAGAGAGGATGATCTTGAAAGCGCAGGACAGCTAAACATCATTTCTCGTTAGTTAGAAATATCGCTCCGTAAATACCCGGTGCAAGTTTTTGCATGTTTGATTTCAAAAGCGCTGTGTAATATTTACCAGAGTTGGCATGTTCACTGGAAAAAATAGCTGCTTCTCCGAAATTGCTGCGCAGTTTCGTTCGAAAGAGGTCTCTTTTAAAAGCATCTCCTAAGGGCTGGGCAGGAAAATTATCACACCCCGAATGAAAAAGGTGGTAATATTGCATAAAAACAAACAAACAAACAAACAAACAAACAAACAAACAAGCAAACACAATCCGAAACAAAGTAGAAACAGAAATATCTGCCATTTTTTTTCTGCGCTTATGTTATTTGTTACGGCTACATACCTCCAACACGGAAACATTCTCCTCGAATTCCTTCCCCATAATAACCTCCATCACAGACGCATTTTCCATTTTCACAGTGTGCATGGACATCACATTTGGCGCATTTATCCTCTGAGGAAAAAAAGAAAAAAAAATCACATTTGAAATCACATTTTTGTCGTGTAGCTAGATGAGATTGATCAGTAAATGGAAAACGTATTTCATCTATATGATTATTAAGGTGATTCCCTAGTAAAAGAACCCGCTATAGATTTCCGATGAAA